CCCTCTGAACAATCTGGAATTTTGGCTTATTTTTTGTTCGAAATACTTTTTGAAAATTGTTTCAAAAATGGTTTAAGTATAAAACACAATTTTACAATTTAGTAAGGATTAAGATAAACTTTGAAAGACTTAGAGTAATATTTTGATATTCGAATAATTATATCGAATATACTTAGAAAGTCATTTGTAAAATCTTAAAATTCATTTAACTAAATTTGTTATATCGAAACATCAAAATGTTTTCAACATTATCTACCAAAGACCTTCGAGTTCGATTACACTCAGCTCAAAGGCACAACATTTGCAGCATAGCTCAAGGCGAGAAGGTTTATTTGTCATCAAATATCTTCGAGTTCGATTCCATTCAGCTTGATGACATATCAATCACATTACTTTCCGATGGCAGTCGATGTTTTTAAGTCAAGAAGAAGATCTGGGTTAGCCGTGCCTTAGTGGCAAGAAACTGTTTTCCGATAGCATAGTTTAAGTTGAAAAAAGCTATCTGTCAATGAAGACCTTTCGAGTTTGATTTCATTCAGCTCAAGGACCTGTCAACCACAGGGTGGAGTCAATGAACTATTTTCCAGTCGAACTTTTTAACCAAGGTCTTTAAATCGAGAAGAAGACCGAGGTTGACTATAATTTGGCAAAAATAAGCTATATTCCGGTTTCAAATTTCGAATTACAACATCAATTTCATATCATCTCAAGATGGACTCGACTTTGCAACGGAGGAGTCATCCGCAACTCAATTCAACAAGGAGTTATTCTTTCAGAATCAATTTTTTCAACTCCACCGAACGAAAATTTGTGTCTTTTATCTTTGTCCTATTTTTCGTTCCACGAAAAAAAAGACAAAGAGGGGCAACTGTAAACACTCATTTTCTTCCTAATTTGTCTTGTTTTTTTATTTATTTTATTATAGGTATATATATATAGTAATATAGTATAATTTTTGAAAATGTTTTTGAAAAATATAATATATAGTTTTCAAAAAACGGTTTTCAAAAATATATATATTATATAGTTTTTCAAAACATTTTTGAAAACTTATATATAATATATAGGTTTTAAAACATTTTGAAAATTATATAATATATAGTTTTGAAATCATTTTGAAAATATAATATATAATTTTTAAAAATATTTTGACAATTTTATATAATATATAGTTTTAAAAAAACATTTTTGAAAACTTATATAATATTTTTAAAATCATTTTTGAAAACTATAATATATAGTTTTGAAAACTTTTTTAAATATAATATATAGTTTAAATTTTTTTTGAAATATATATACATTATATAGTCTATATTATATTATTATTAGTATTTATTATTATTATTTTTATATTATTTATTTACTTTCCATTTTTTTATTTATTTTGTTCAGGGTCCAACAAGGTCCAAAGGGGGCAACCCAAGTTACGGTTCGGGTCCAGAAGTGGGCCTGAACCAGTCCAAGACCATTAGAGTTTGTGAAACCCTAACATAAACAGTAAACAGGTCAACGCCGCCGCAAGGGAGCAAACCAACGGCCAGCGCATTTTCTGGCCACACCAACGGGACTGAACCATCCCGAGGCGATCGGTGTAACATGCACGAAGATCTCGGTCAACCAACAACTATGATCCTGAGATCGTCGGGACCCAAACGGCCAAAACCGAGCTATAAAAGCCTCGATAAAGCCAACAGTAGGGGGCCTGAGGGAATAACACGGTAAACCAAACGATGAACACCAACACTGACTACAAGGAGACCAACAACAAAGAACATTTAACCCATCACAGAAACAAAACAAAACAACACAGCAAAAGGAAAGTCATTCGGAAAACCCGAAGCCATCGAACAAAAGAAAAAATACAAAAAATTCTTTGTAGATCTACGGACTTGGGGACGTTTCTAGGCAAAACAAACTGTGGATTCATAACGAGGATGAAAAGGCGCATCGGATAGTACCATTATCTCCCTTTTTCGGTGTCGACGAACAACGGGCGACCGCAGGCCAGTGGCATCCGAAACGGCGAAGCCCCCACCGGAGTTGGGCTCCGGTTAAAGCTTAGGAGAGAATACTCTCCATCTCTCTCACACGCCATCTCTCTTGATTTGTATAAATGAGTCAAATGAGCAAATTAAGCCTATTTTTCGGCTTATGTACAACAATTGAAACGACGCCGTTTTTCTCAGGGACTGTTTACGTACTTTTGGCGTGTGGTCAAATCGCAACACGGGTCCCTCATCCCTTGTAATGTTATTTTCTAACCACGGCTTGAACTATTAATTTCTTTTATTTTGAGAATCAATGTTTCAATCCTTTTATTTTAGTCTGACTCTTATTTGCTTTGTTATTTTTATTAGAGTTTGACTTTGGATATTATATTTGCTAGTATTTCATTTTAGTCACAGCCTCGTTTAGGTTTAATTATTATTTAGTCCCCATTATTTTATTATTATTATTTTATTTTGCTATAGTTTTTTAAAACTTTTTATTTCATTTTTTCTTGTTTTTCTATTTTAACAATTTTTTATTTTTCAATTATTTTTTCTCTTCATATTGTTTTTTATTTTATTTCACGTTTATTTATTTATTATTATTATTATTACTTTCTTTTTTATTTTATTTATTTTTTAATCTTATTTCCCTTAAATTTATTTTATATTTTTTTTACTTTTGTTTTTTTGTTTTATTTATTTAATATTTTTATTCATTTTTTTATTTGATTTTTATTTGATTATTATTTTTTCTCCCTCTTTTGATTTATTGTTTTAGTTAGTATTTTTTATGCTTTTATTTACTTATTTTTTTTATCTAACCTTTTCTACTTTTCTTTTAGAAGAATTCCAACCAATCAAATGTAAGCAATTCGAATAGAATTTTTAAATTTTAATTTAATTTCTTAATTTTCGCAATTAAAGACAACTGACAAATTAATTGATACCGAAAGGGTGGTTAAAGGGTGCTAATCATTCCTTGACCGTAACCGACTCCCGAACTCGACACATTTCTAGTAAGACGCATATCAGGTAAGATGGTGTCCGATCCACCTAAATATTTTTTAAAGCAATCGGTGGTGACTCTAACTCATTTCATTCACGTCGAAGTCCAACTTCGGGCCCAATCGAAAAACGATCGCGGCATATATATATATATATATATATATATATATTACTAATCAAAACAAGCTAGAACAAAAGATGATGTATTAGGATGGATAAAAGATGATGGATTAGGATGGATTTTTATCCACTTGAATTCCATCAAAGTATAACATCTTTCCATCTGTCAATTTTCTAGGATAAAAACTCACATTAAACGCGAACCAACACAAATATATAGTATACACATATATTTATTTAGGGTTAGAATAACTTACATAATGTAAAAATCTTTAGTTTTACATATATTTAGGGTCGTCAAATGAGAGAAAATAGATGACTGAGATTGACTCCTTATTTTTTTCCTGTGAATATTTTCTCATTTCCTATTGTTAATTACAACTATCAATTTTCACTCATTCAACGATCCTAAATCTTTGTAAAACTAAAAGAGTTTTACATTGTATAACAGAATCTTATCCTATTTATTCATATTCATTTTTATATGTTAAATAATATTTGTATTGCTATAAATAAATATCGTATAAAATTATATTAATATATATGGTGTTATTTTTTTAAGAAAGTATGAATTTTCAGGATAAAATATTGATGAAAGTATAAAGTAATAAAAAATATGAATTTTTAGGATAAAATATTGATGGAAGTATAAAGTAATCGATGTTAAGAAGAAAAAATTAACAGTATCGTTTGAGTTTTCTATCCTTTATTCGAGTGAACGAATGCGGAAACATTTGATGTTGTCAATGTTAAGATTATACCGATTAGAGTAAATTTACTAATAAAATAATAAATTTTACCGCGACAAAATAAATCTATTTAAGTTAATATGATTTAATCATTATTATTTATTGTTAATGTTTATGTTTTACAATAATAATATTTATTATTATTATTATTATTTTTACCGTTACATCACATGCGTATATACAATAGTAATATAATAATAATTTGATTTAAATCAATTTCAAAAATAAATCTACGTGAAACACGTAATAATCTACGTAAAATTTAAAAGGCAGACGTAAGCAATGAAATAGCAAGGTAAAACATTTAATTTTATAAAACCAAATAGACTTTTAAATTTGTCGAAATTATTTATTTATTAATAAGCTTTTATAAAAGCTTAGACCGAGGAAAACAACAAAAAGATAAGAATGGTAGTGACGAAGACAAATATGGATAGATCAAAGAGGACAAACGAGAATAATCATCTTTTTAAAATTTTAAATTATCATATATTTTAAAATTTTTATATATAATTTTTATTAAAATATATTTTTGTGTTTAAAATTTTATAATTTTTTCCTATTTAAAATTTTAATTTTACCGAGAAAGTTTCTGAAAGGCAAGTGAAAAAGGCTGCACTTCTCCTGCAAAAATATGAACTCGTATTATCTGCAAATCTATTGTAACTTCCATCTTTTTTACAGAGTAAATTTGCATCATTTGCAAAAGATTTTGTCTTTCATCACTCTCTCGCAACAACAAGCTCCTTCACGTGATCTGCCTGTTAGTCTCTCACGCAAACTAAAACCATTCCTCTGCAAAATTTGCAGTTGAACGGTATAAAAGTAACATTTGGTATCTAATATTTTGGTAAAATTTACAAACAGGTGTCTATACATTTAAAATATTTAATGTACTAATTTAACCATTAAATTTATTGATTTTTTGGTTTAGACATTTTAAAAGTGTGAGGATCAAATATGATATATCCCAATTAAAACCAACCATTATTCTTTAAAAATAATCATCACCGGTGAAAAGCAAATGCTGCAAAGCTAAATTATGTAGAATTTATCCCTTTCTTGTCCGAATCTCTTTGTAAAAGTGATTATCAAAAGCTTACCTCACTCCCCTGAAACACCATTTTCAATTTACCGTCATCAAAGGAAGTGCAAAGAGTCCTTTCTTAAGAGCTTTTTAAACTGCTAAAAATCCCCCCCCCCCAAAGAAGAAAAACCCTGAACATTCACACTCATTTTCTCTTTAGATTCTTTCTCTGTTTTCTTCCATGGAAGCTCTGAATTTTCTGAGGTTTTGGAAACATGGTCACGGTGTTCGTAAACTGAACCTAACCCAAACTTGTAATGGAAACGGCGGCGCCACCACCGCCGCCGCCGCTGCTAATGAGTTCGATGAAGACGACGACGCTTTCATCGACTTGGAGTTTCCTTTGCGTGACTCTGAAGATAAAGGGAATGCTAAGAATGCTGAAGCTCGTTGTTTGTCTCCCAATGATCATTTGTCGAAAAGGAAGATTTTGCCGATCGAGCCAGTCTCCAAGCCTCAATCGCCCGTCGCTCTTTTGAAATCGGCCCAGAAATTTCGAGTCTTTCATCCCAAGAAGACGAAAGCAGAGACACCGAAGCACGAAAAGCAAGGTGGCGGCAACCATTTCACTAGAGAAAACAGTTTGCGGAGAACAGACGGCGAAATCGACGATTCCTCGAAGAGATTGTCCAAGGACCTGGTGCACAAATACTTGAACGTTATCAAGCCCTTGTACACAAAAATCTCCAAGGTAGGAATCTCCGGTGACTCTTCAATGTTATCTCCGGCGGATTCTCCGGTGACGGTGTATTCCACGAAGGAAAAAAAGGGGAATACTAGAGGGGTCTATAAACATCTGGGAAAGAGCAAATCGTCGTCAGCTGCAGCATCGCAGATTAACAGGAGAGATGATTCGTTGCTTCTACAACATGATGGGATCCAAAGCGCCATTTTGCATTGCAAGAGATCTTTCAATTCATCAAGAGGTGTTAATTACTTAACTATATAGTTAATTTTAAACTTTGGGTTTGATTTAAAATTCGATTCTTAGCTTCTTTTATCTTCTGGGTTTGGCGGCAGAATCTTCATGGTTGTCGAGATGCGCAAGCGATTCTTCTTCACAAGAGAAATTAAGCAATGCTTCTTCAACAGGTATACACATGGTTTCACACTGCAAAACCCTTTTGAAAAAAACCAAGTTTTAAGCGCTAATCGATCATCGTTTTTTTCTCAGATTTTTCCCTGTTTTCACGAGCTACAAGCAATTCCGCGAGAACATCCAGCGAAGAACATAGACTGTGATCTTCAATATGATAATGATGTAAAACTCTTAGAAAGTGTAGTGTTGTTTTTTTATTGTTAGCTGTGATTAGCGGTTATTATGAAGAAATTGAAAGTTTGATCTTAAATTTCTGCAGTTGAAAGCATATATTATGTTTGATTTGAAAGGTGAGATGTTCACGTCAAAGATGTGATAATGATTTCAGACAGTTTCTTCCATTTTCCAAATCTGGTAGTTCCGAGTGGGAATTTGCTTCTTCAATCCTTCAAATGGCTCCAACAGTAATAGACTATTCCCAGATTTGCAACATTTAATATGTGAATGAAATTCAAATCTTAATTCAATTGGATATCACAATTGAGTGCAATTGCTTTCACTACCGGGCACTTAATGCAATGCATTCAATGTATTATCTTCTTTGTCATCAATTACACCGTCGGGTCCAGTGGTCGTGCAAAGGTTGTGTTTTTTCCTTGTTGTCGTCGGGTTAAAATCGTGATTTGAGATTCATTGATGGTTGTTTGTTAGGTGGCTGGCCGTTGGGTGGACGAGTAGTCGAGGTTAGGTCTGGTCAATGGCTACGGCGATGACAAAGGGCGGCGGTTGGTGTAGGTATAGGGATTAAAATTAAGATTTTTAAAGTTTTTTTTAAGATTTAAGAAAAAATTGAGTTTTTTTTTATAAATTATATTTTCTATTTTTATTTTAAATATTTTTTAAAATTATCATAACATTACATGTGTCACTTAACAAAATATTTAAAACTACCTCTTATAATAACCGGAATTAGAGAAATCTAATAAACTCCGTTTCATCCGAAAGAAGAAAAAAGCAGAGTGAAGCGAAGACAGATGCTCTCTGGGCCACCCTTGTGGCTTGTGGCAGTGTAGCCAAGCCAAGCCATCTCTATTACAAGGGCGGAGGGTAAAGTTTGAATATCCAGTCAATCTGCCTACCTGTTGGGGCAGCTCGGCTGGCCATACAGTACACGACATACCATAACTCTGATTTAAATAAATATTCTTCGTACCATTTGAAGTTGAAGTATCCATTCCTCTATCCACTGTATCTATACATAATCCATGGTCATATCCACAGATTCTACACCCTTGTTGGTATGGTTATATACTTATATGCCATCATGCTCATGGTGGTGCCTCATCTCATCATCCATTGTTTCCCACAATTTGTTTGTCTGAATTCCGAATTAATCCACAATTTGAGTCGTACATTTTCATCTTAAATTCAAAATCCAATCTCATATTTCGTAAAAATTAATTTAACTCAAATTTAAAATAAATAACTTCATAAGATTGAATAATATTAAAATTTATAGAATTCAAATTATATTATAATCCGGACAGAGCAATCACCCCCTTTGAAATTTGAACAAGGGCAGGGGCGCCCATGTACAATGATAAAGAATCAGATTTGATAGGCATTTGTCAAGCTCCACCTCATATAGGGGGTCACATACATAAAGAGAACCGGACAATATTGTTCACTTCTCCCAGATTTGTTCTGTATCTATTGCTCGCACATCATGTTTCTTTGTTTTATTCTCCGACCAACATTTAAAAAGAAAAAAAAAAGTTTTCAATATTAAAAAGTGAACAGAGAGAGGCACTGGATTTCCCACTTTAGCTTTTACTCACACTTCTTCAATGGATTTTCCTTCTTGGATATTCCAAAAATAATGACGTCATTTTTAAGAAAACTAGTAAGTGTTAATATTGGAATCTATTATTATTATTTTTTAATAATATAAAGTGATTACGAGATAATATTTGCTCAAAATATTTTTAATATATTGATAACTGTAGACACATAATTTCGTCTCCACACTTTTATAATATTTACATATTATATATACATATATATATTAGTATTAATTTTATTTATTGTTTGCATATTGCAGGACCAAAATCAGATTACAAGACCAATCTGCTGGCCCAACAGTGGACCAAGCCCAGCAACAGTGACCCATAACCCATTGCAAATTAGGGTCTGTTTGGAAACCCTAGATACACACCTCGTTCCAGCGCCACTCCACACCAACCGTCGGATCAAGGGAAGATCCAAGGGCCCAGATTAACCCTAGTTGTTACTGCCCTATCTCATCCAGCGCCGCTTGGTCAGCTGCACGCCGCTTTTCACGGCCGTTCCTCGTACATTCAACAAACATAAAGGACGTGTGTTAGTAGGATTCCATCACCAACAAATAAGGCAGTGTTTTAGTCTATATAGGACTCAAGGATGTAATCTAAAAATAGGTTTTTTCAGTATAAATAGATGTAATCGAATTCATTATGAGGGGGGGATACTACGAATTTGGCAAGAAAGTCACACACAATATTGAGAGAAATATCAAGCAATTTCGAAGCCTTTTGTAACAATTTCGAAAAGGAAATAAGAGGAAGGTAGCATCTTTTACCTCTGTTCGCTAGTCTCTCACTGTTGCATGTTGAGTGTTGCTTGAGATTTGACTTCAAAACCAAAAAAAAAAAAACGTTTTGGCCGATGAACGAAGTGAGGCCTTTATTTTCGAAACCTATTTCCCAGATTTGCATTTTTTTAAGACGGTTTTCGAAGATCTACTGGGATTTTTGGGCTGTGGGAAGAGAATGGCTTTTTAAAGAAGCGTGTTTCAGGGTAGACCATCGCCGATGAGCGGCGGCGAGGCGGTGGCCACCATTCTCAGGCGGCTCACGGCCTCTGTTCTTGGAAGCTCAAGAACATTACAGAGAAACTGGGAAAGAGGATGGCTCTGGCTTTTGAAATGGATTGAATGAAGGGTTTAGTTTTTTTTAGCATATATACCCGAGTGTTTCAAATAAAATAGGGTAAACTACCCTTTTGGTCCCTCGTATCTTTTAAAGAGTTATTTTCCCCCCAAATTGAAATTAACCCTTAATATTGCTTTGAATTTTGACCCCTAGCTTATAGTTCTTTCAATTTAATCCTTTTTCTGGATTTTAATTTTAATTATCTTTTTATATTACATTATAATATTTATATATATTTTATATATTATTATTAGTTTTTTATTTCACTCTCGTATATATGTATTATTAGTATATTATTATTTTACTTATATGCTATATTATGTATGTATATATATATATATATATATATATATGTGTGTGTATATATTTTGTATTTTATCTTATTATTCCTTTACTTTTTATTATTATATTTATTTTCATTATTTAGTTTTTCTAGTATTATTATATATTTTTTTCTCTCTCTCATATTTAGCTATTATATATATATATGGTATCAATATTATTATATGTTTTTATTAATTTTATTAATTTTACTTTATACGCTATTATTTTACATTTTTTTTATATATACATATGTACATTGTATTTCATTCTTATTATTTTACATCTATATAGATTATTTTATTTCACTTTTATTATGCTTTCTTTATTTATTTATTCTTTCCTTTTTTCGTTTTATTGTGTCTTATTTTCTTATTTCTTTATTCTTTCATTTTTTACCTTATCATATGTTGGCATACTTGTCTTCGTTCTTATTTCCTTCATGTTCTATATCTCCATGTCGATTATGTTACTTTTGGTGTATCATTTATTGTTATTTTGTTCTTCATTTCGTTTTCTTTATTTTTTTAATTTATTTTCATCACCTTTTCTAATACACATTTTGACCCTTAAAGGGTTCGCTTTCAAATCAATCAATTTTAAGTAGTCGAGATCGCTATTTTACCTCTTAATTTAAATTTACATTTTTCTTAACTAAAGACAACTGGAAATTACATAGTATCGAAAGGATAGTTCAAGGGTGCTAACCCTTCCTTGACTATAACCGACTCCCGAATCCGACACATCTTTGGTAAGACGCAGATCAGGTAAATTACAAGGTATCCGGTCAACCCATTTATTTTTAAATAAATGATCGGTGGCGACTCTAACCCAAATATTTCAAGTCGAAGCCCAATTCCGGGCCCAACGGAAAGACGGTTGCGACAGTTTGGCGACTCTGCTGGGGAAATAGGCAAGTGAGTCAGGCTAAGGTAATTTCCAGTTGTCTTTTTAATGAAAAGGGTAAGTTTAAATTTTAAGGTAATATTTCGATCCTTATTACTTATTTTTTATTATATTTTTTTTGAGTAAATAGTTGGACTGACCGTTTTCTAATGATTTAAGCTTTCCAAACATTTTTCTAAGGCTCTAAACCCGAGCTCCGAACCCGTTTTAAGTGGGGGTGAAAGCGACGCCTTCGTGTGAATTTATTCACCGTATGGGCCTAGCAAGTAGCCTTCAGGATTCATATACCTTATGCCTTCGTGTGAATTTATTCTCCGTATGGGCATAAGGGAATGTGTCCTCTCGAGTTTAACTTAGTCCACACAAGCCTATGATGGGTTTCGGACTAAGGGTCTAGTCGGTCCAAGGGGGCGCCAGCAAGGAGAACTCGAGTACCGTTTTTAGAACCTAAACCTGGAGACTTTGAATAAATAGAGCCTACCCCAAAACCACATTCCAAAACCTAGGACGTTTCTTTCCTAACCTTTTTTTTTGTGTCCTTATGTTTTTTCCTTTACCATTTATTTTTTTTATTTTTTTTATTTATTTCTATTCTACTAACCTTTTTGCCTTTGTGTTTGTTTTTAGCATTTGCATCATAACAAGGGGCCATTGATCCCTAAAAAGGTATTTATTAAAACTCAAATAATCTGAATTCATGGACAAAGGTGTTGTAATACAAGAGATTGAAAACGCTGAGGCACGACTATGGTCCGAGAAGACTCAAAGTGAAAAGGGAGACAATCTTCAAGGAAGCTATGTGTCAGAGTTGGTTCACTACACCCCTATCAGCCTAAAATAGAACAATGTACAAGAACTTTGAGATATCTGGGACAGATGGAAGAATGATCGGAGACAGAAGTTCAGCCAACGGTACGGTGACATTGCACTCTTGCTTCATGTTAAGACTGATGAGCCCTTAATCAGAGCCATGGTTCAATTCTGGAACCCGGGATATAGTTGCTTCACTTTTAACCAAGAGGACATAGTGCCCACCATCGAAGAATACACTACAC